GCAGCATTGAGCGGTATAAGGGGTGATTAATTGCTAGAGGTATTACTAAGCAAGAAGGCATTGATTTCTCTTAAACTTTCAGTCATGTCATTAAGTAAATGATTGTTAGGTTAGTTTTCTTCATTGCAGTTTTGAATTGTTGAAAGGTTCATCAACTCAATAACCATAATGCCTTTCTCAATAGAGTTCTTGTTGAAAAGGTCTATATAAAATAACCTCCAGGTTTTGTTGACTTTTCCCTTCCCTCTCATGTGTGTTGTTTGCATAAGTTTCTATATGGTTTAAATCAGGACCCACGAGCGTGATACACTTGTTTAAGTGATTTTTTGCTTTCTCTTGGCTTTCATACTTCTAAGGTTGACACTTTCTTATTGTCTTATTTGTGGGTACTAATATTTTTTTATCTTCTAATTTATGTTGATGATATTCTATTTATGGGTAACGACTTTACTATTTTTCACCACCTAATACAGTTGCTGAGCTTAGAATTCAAACTTCATGATTTATATGTCGTTCATTATTTTTTAGGCATTGAGGTTCAATTCACCAGTATGGGTCTAATGTTATGACAACATAAGTATATTTTTAAAATCCTTACTTGGGTTGGTATAACCTCTTGCAAACCTGTTGATACTTTTATTTTTACCTCCAAAGTTATTGTGTTGCTTGATTCCGTATTTTTTTATCCTATATGATTTCATCAAATCATTGGTGCTCTTCAATATCTCACCTTTATGAGATCAGATATCTGTTTTATTGTTAATAGAGCTTGTCAGTTTATGCATGCTCCTAAAGATTCTCATTGGGCTACTGTTAAATACATTCTACGTTATCTTCAGGTTACAACATCCTATGGTTTACATATCACTCATAGTTTCTCTTTCGCTTTACATGGTTTTATTAATGCAAATTAGGCAAAAGTATTGATGATCGTAAATCTGCGGGTGGTTACGTTGTTTTTTTTGGTCACACACCAATTTCATAGAAATCAAACAAGCAACGCATAGTTGCCCACTCTTCTACCAAAGCTGAGTTTAAAGCCTTAGTAGATGACACTATTGAAGTTATATGACTTCAGTATTTATTGACAGATCTGCAGATCCCTTTAGTCTCTATTACTACTATTTGGTGTGATAATCTTGGTGTTATTTATTTATCTGCAAATCTTATCTTTCATGCTCGTACTAAACATGTTGATGTTTATTATCATTTTTTATGAAACAAGGGTAACAAAGAAAGAGATTTAGATTTATTTTTATCTTTTCTTAAGATTAATTTGCATATGTCTTTACTAAGCCTCTTCTTACTGCTTTTCAATTCAAGCTTCAAGTCAATCCTCCACCCTTGGCTTGACAGGGTGACACGATCAAAGAGTTGATGTCTTATCCCAAGTGCAGGAGTGTCAAAGTAAAATAACCCGGCAGTATTATAATTTCTACCTTTAATGTTGTATACTATCCTATACATATATACATAGAAAAAGTTGGTTAACTAATAGGTTGAGCCTCCTATTTTTTCATAACTTATATTGAAATATTCTATTGAAAAATTGTATCTTTGGCAATATCTTTAAGGTTTGAAAATTAGTTTATTTTTTTGGTTAAGTTTATGAGAAAATTTCCAGTGAAACTCAAGTAAAACCGCATCATTGTTTTATTAGAATTTGTGATCGGGATAAAATTTCCAGTCTACAATAACATTTAACATCTCAAGAAAGAAAGAAAGAGGCGGTTTGATTAAGTATCTTGAAATAATTGAAGTTAAACAAGGATAAAAAGGAAACTATAATTAAAATAAATATATGGTTGGTTGTTCGATCAGAAACGGTTGGCATTAACTAATCTGTGGAATAATTGAATTTCGAAATTGCCGACTGTCACTAATATTAAAGCTATTGGATCGGGAGGCAGCTGCAGACTAAACACTTTGAGTTGCAGACCCTTCCTGCAAACCTAATTAATTTAGAACTCAGGCACGTCCATTGTCCCTGCCATTAGCCTCTACTGGACTTTTCCTCATGATGAATCGTCAGATTTGAGGAGGCAGCACCATCAGCAAGTGTCGCTCTTTCCACTCCTGACTGCATGCACGTTTACGAGTGTCTGTATGAAAATAAATTAATATGCATAATATAATTTTGAAGGGTAATACTTTGATATGTCCTTGTCATATATTGGTGGAGAATTTGGTATAAAGATAAAGAAACAAAAAGAAAAAAAAAATCTAATAAACATTATTATTTTTAAGGTATATATCTGTCCAGCAACACATTCACAGGACAACGTACAAGTACTCGGCTTCTAAACTCTCCAGGACAAAAAAAAGTACAAGCAAAGACAAAAGGGAAATATATCTTTTTATATTGTTTTCGTGCAGTAACAAGTTTATTTATAGATTTTCTTTTTTTATAATTTAACTAGATTATTATTATTCAATTTAATCCCAATATTCATATTTTTCATTAAATTAATTTAGAAGAATTAATCTCACATTAGCTATATATTTTAATTTCATGCATCCAACGTAAATCTTGATATTTATTTTGATATTATAAATATTTATATTCAAGACTTATCGAGAAGCTCTCCAGTATAAAAATAATAATATTTTTTTAATCAAACTGAATAATAGTTATATTCACTTTAATTTCAACACTTAAATGTATAAAAAATTATTGAAAAAATAAATCTCATTTACAGTTTTGCTATCAATCTTTTGATATGATAAACATTGATCTATCATTTATCTAAAAAACTTATCCTTGTGATGCAAACTTCCACCCTTCTACTTTAATAAGCAAGATCACTTATGAATGTTTCATTCATCACTCGATTATATTTTTAATAGATAAAAAATAATTTAAAAAACATTTTTTTATCTATTAATTAATGATTAAACCAAAATACCTTTAAGAATATTATGGTATATCAGATTAACAAAGATATTGACAAACAAGCATATAAAAATTTGTAGAAGAAATAACAATCAACTAAAACTTATACAACAAACACTCTTTATATAGTTTTCAAAATACCATTAGGACATTTAAATAAATCATTTCTATAATACGAGGAATTGTCATTTATGACTTTCAACCAGAGAGATCAACGACGATGAAGGATGAGCTGAAGCATTACATTCTAATCTTGTGTTTTATTCTATATAAAAAAATTGTTTTTTACATTCCAAATGCCCCCATAGAATTACATATGATAGCATAATTAATGCTCTTCACCGGAACTTCCCTTAAAACTTTACGCTCCACTGCAAAACTTCTTGATCCATGGTTTTCAGCATACACCAGATAATACCAAACCAGTTCTGAAAACGTTGCCAGATCCTCCCGGGCTCAAGGCAAAGCAGAAAAGAGTGATTAACATGCTCAGTTTCTTCCTCACAAAAAGGATATACTGCTTGGCTCAAATACATTAAATTTCATCTTGCTAATTAAAAGGGCCCTTATACTAACTCTGTCTTGGAGAAGCAGCTAATTAATCTTCTCCATGGTAGTGATGTCAATGGGGATGTACCTGGAAATTCTATTATGTTGCTGTAAGCCTTGACTGTGTAAGTCCCTTGTCTGTCACTGTCCCACATATCCATATCTTTCTCTGTGATCTTAATGCAACCCCAATATCTGTCGTGTAAAGAAGCTGTTGGAATGGGGTATATGTTATGATAACTTTAATCGTCTTTAATTTCCAGATAATAAACTTTCAATACCATCCATCCATTTCATATTCCCCATTTCGGCCAAACGAAAAGATAATTCAGAAAGTAAAAGCTACCGCTGTGTGAAACGCTATCATGAGAATATTGTTTTCTCGCTAAGTATTATTATTATTATTATCATCATACAAATCTGTGTCCACGAGTAGCTTTTGTGCCTAAAGACTAAGAGGTCGACAAGTAAGAATGGATTTACCCAAAAAAAAGCGATCAGTGAAGAAATAGAGCTGCTTTTGTACTTACAGAAGAGACACCTTGCTAGGTAGCGTAGCCCACAAAACACAAGTTAAGTTCCACCATTCTAATGGAATCTATTCATTGATTAGTGCTCATACATACCTAATTAGTATATCGGCAGTGATATTGCCTAAAACATGAGAATCAATTAACACACACACACACACCCACCTTTGGCTTGGTTATGCTCTCCTCCACGTGTGTGTGTGTACACACACACACACACACACACACGTGGAGTAGAGCATAAACAAGCACACACACCCCCCTTTGGCTTGGTTATGCTCTCCCCCACGTGTGTGTGTGTACACACACACACACACACACACGTGGAGTAGAGCATAACCATGCCAAAGGTGGGCTCTAGACAGTCAAGGCAATGAAATATTTAATCAAGGACTGGTTAGTATACGGCTCGCTGTTTGTGACCTGTTTATGATCCATATATATATATATATATAGTGTAAAGACCTGTTGGATAGTTTATCTTAAGTTGGTCCAGTGGCATCCATTACTGTAAGGTGAGTTCAGGTGTGTGGCTAGTTGCTGCGTGGTTGATTTGATCGTTAAAACAAGTACTTGTTATCGTTTATATTTTTAATTTTTTAAGATTAAATTTTGAGACCATTTACAATAAAAATTATTAAATCATACCGTGGAGAAGATATATATTTAAATTTGTTAAAAAAATATCTCCAATATGTTTAGAACCCTCTCAATTTAATTTAATAAATAAATATTTTTGAAATCATTTTAAGTATTTAATCTCTAAACATATGTAAATGGAGGGTTAACCTCTTTTATTTCTATGTATAAATTAATATTAAATATAGTTTTCATAAAATACTCGCCTACACTCACCATCAAACGGAGAAAAAAGAAAAAAGAAAAAAGAAAAGGGCAAGTTGTGTGGCTAGCTGTGTTTAATTAAGATAATTTATTGCCGGCAGACGGCTGATAGAAAGCATTTTAATTAGATGTGTCCTTGTAATAGCATAATTGAATTTTCTTGGACCAGTTTGGCTGTCACCATCGTCATCACAAGCTTGTTTCTCATGTCCTCTTCGCTTCCACAATCTCTAATCTTCATTTCTACTTGGCCTAGAGCTACTTCCTCTTCCTATATATGTGTAAAAGCTACAAGCTTTCTTCATGATCACTTTGCTCACACGTTAATTATATGCACTTATAAGCTAAAAACAACCATAAGCTTGCACGTATAGTACTACTATATAGTTTTATGAGATAAATATTGCTCACTGGCGCCTTGCTAAACTACAGCGACACACAGTTTTCTTTTAGCTTAATTGTAGTGGATGGAGGAGGTAAAAAAGGAGCAGCAGGAAGAAGCGCCAATGGTGATTGATTTGGGGAGCATTGACACGCAAGGACTGTTTCTGGGAGGAGAGAAGCAGTCGTGCTCGTATGTCAACTCACTCTCTTCCCGAGAAATGGAGTCCCTCACTGCTCTCTGCGACACACTTTTCCCGTCCGTTTATAATAGCAGTATGATCGCCGCCTCCGCCGATGATGGCTCCACCAATAGTATCTCTACTTTTTATCAATCTTCTGCTTCCATGGCCGGAACTCCTCAACGTGTATGACATCCTTTTCTTAGCTTCGTACCTACCTGCCTAGCTACCAATCCATACGTTTTGCACCCTTTTTAATTTACACATACGCACATGCTGCCATGCATTTTTGTTTTCATCAAATTACATTAAGGTTGGTCGAACTAAATTTCCTTTTCTTTTCTTGTGTAAATATATATATGCATCCAATAAGCTAGCTGAATATTGCGTCGTTTTGAAACTAATATTTACATGTATATGTATTTTCTCGAACCGCAACGCAACGCAAAGTGTTTCTTTACTATTTGAGCATACATGGGGGTGCAGGTAGGAGAGTTGTTTTGTGAGAGGGTGCAGCATCCGAAGAAGTGGCTGATAAGACTGACGCTCTATTTGCTATCTACATGGATCGGTACCTTCATATTGTGTGGATTGCCCAGCATTTCACCTTCCTTTCCCTACTTCCAGAGATTTTCTCAAATCTCTCAAAGCAAAAGGGAGCAGATAGTGTTTTCCTGGGCTACCAGCTTTTTCTATCTCCTCAGGATGCTCTTCAAATCCATCAAGCTCGTCATCCCACTCGTGTTTTTCTCTCAGGTATATAACTATATGCACTTTTAATCAGTACTGCAATATTTATTTCTGGTATATGCTTTATAAAAAAAAAAAAAAGAGATTTGGATAAAAATGCAGGATACTAATTTTAATAGCGCCCTTCTTGCTTGTACGTAATTAAATTACAAAAAAAGAAGGAAAAAAAAAAGAGATTTGCATAAAAATCAGGATACTAATTTTAATATCGCCCTTCTTGCTTGTACGTAATTAAATTAAATCAAGAGCGATAAATAGTCCAATGGTGTTGTCCCTGCTTCGAAAAGGTAATTAAGGGCCGGATTTAATTCAATATTTCCTTATCATGACAAGCGCAGAATACTCGAGAGTCAAATATATATTTAATGCCTCATATATGTATTAACTTATCAAATAAATAGAGCTGAAATCATCCATCGAATGTATTCAATTTTTTTACAACAAATCCCTGTATCTATACATAATATATTCTATTTAATTATATATGTTTCATAGTAAATAAATAAATGAAAGTGATAAATACTTGTTTTAGATAAGATTTAATAATGTAGACCATGTGTGTTGGACGGAAATCAATTTTCGAATGTGGAAAAGGCTCGAAAAGGTTTTTAGGGGAAAAATCCAAAAAAATATATAAAGAAAGATGTCGAGTTGGGCTCGTTTTGAAGGTGATTGGGCTTGTCTTGGGTACCCCATCTTTGTGGGTTGTAATTCTTCCCCTTGTTTTTTTAGCTCTTGTAGCCTCTCTTTCTAAAATATATATATATATAACCTCACGACTATCGATTGATTTTCAGGTGGATGAAAAGAATGAGAACCTGACATGGAAAGCCATAGGCTATCCAGGGCCTGACCCTGCAGCACTCAAAAGACAAACACAAACCTGCGGGCAGCCAGAAACATTATATGCAAGTCTAAAAGATGATGATGATGATGAACATGACTGCAAAGAAGAGCATCTCTTTGGACCTCTTTACAGAGGCCTCGTAGATCTCAACCTTCCAAGGGATAGAGTTGCCGACTCCCTGCGTCAGATTGGATTCCCTGTCTCCATTCTTCGCGGGAAAAATATCGACTCGTCACGGGACTTTTCTACTAGTAATCCTAGTTTAGTCATCAAATGTGACGCAGTAGTAGTTGGTTCTGGCTCTGGTGGTGGTGTGGTTGCTGGAGTTCTAGCAAAAGCTGGTTATAAAGTGCTTGTCTTGGAGAAAGGAAACTATTTTGCTAGAAACAATCTCTCACTTCTTGAAGGGCCCTCAATGGATCAAATGTATTTAGGTGGAGGTATGCTAGCAAGCGATGATATGGGAGTGGTAATTCTTGCAGGCTCTACTGTTGGTGGAGGTTCTACAATCAATTGGTCAGCTTCAATTAAGACCCCACAACATGTGATCAATGAATGGAGTGAAAGCTACGACCTTGAGTTATTTGACAGTAAATTATACAAAGAAGCATTGGATGCTGTGTGTGAGAAAATGGGAGTTCAATCTGATATTGATGAGGAAGGTTTCAATAGTGCTGTTTTAAGAAGAGGGTGTGAAGAATTGGGCTATCCTGTAAACACTATTCCTCGAAATTCTGTTCCGGATCATTACTGTGGCTGGTGTTGTTTTGGCTGCAGAGATGGAAGAAAGAAAGACACTTGTGAGACATGGCTAAAGGACATGGTGAATTCAGGTAACGGTGCAATTCTTCCTGGATGTAAGGCTATTAAGGTCTTGCATGAGCGAAAGAAAGGGAAGGATCGAAGTACTGCATCGGGAGTAGCTTTTGGATTCGAATACAATGGAATGAAAGACTTGTGTGTGGTTGAGTCCAAGGTGACTGTTGTTGCCGGTGGTGCTCTCAGCACTCCTGCATTGCTAAAAGCAAGCGGCTTAAAGAATGCCAACATTGGTAAGCACTTACACCTCCATCCAGTCACAATGGCATGGGGCTACTTCCCAGAAGCACCTAATTCAACAGCGGCGTGGCCAGAGGAACAGAAGAAGAGCTATGAAGGAGGGATAATGACAGCAATGTCAACAGTAGTTGCAAATGTTAACAAGTCTGGATATGGGGCAGTGATACAGACGCCATCATTGCATCCTGGTATGTTCTCGGGCCTAATTCCATGGATTTCTGGAGCTGATATGAAAAGGAGGATGTTCAGGTTCTCAAGAACTGCCCATGTATTCGCTCTGGCAAGAGACAGAGGATCGGGAACTGTGAATTCGCCAAGCTCAATAAATTACAGAATGGATGCTGAAGACGAGAAGAATCTACAGGAAGGTCTAGAGAAGACACTGAGGATACTGGCAGCTGCAGGAGCTGAGGAGATCGGAACACATCACAGCACAGGGAAGATCTTAAATGTGAAGAAAGTGAGCTACCGTGAATTCGAAAGGTTTGTGAAAGAGGAGAGTGCAAGACCATTAAGAGACTTAACAGGACAAATATGTTCAGCTCATCAGATGGGGAGTTGCAGGATGGGTGTGAATCCAAAGGAGTCGGCAGTGAACCAAATGGGAGAGGCATGGGAAGTAGAGGGACTGTTTGTTGCAGATACAAGTGTGTTTCCAACTGCTCTGGGTGTCAATCCAATGGTCACAGTCCAAGCTATCGCTTATTGCACTGCACAGTCAGTTGTTCAACTTCTTTCTAGGAAGAGAACTCATTACTAACTTGTTTTACTCTTCATAATAAAGTCCCTGCAACTCTCATCGTTTCATGTGTTATTTATAGCCAAAGGTAAAGATGATTATCTTACTTGTTAAAAAAGCCTAGATCTCAACTCAATTTGGCCCTTCCAAAAACTAACGCGGCAGCCTGCTTCACCGCTGGAGATATGCATACACTACACAACAGAAAAATTTGAGGACAGCATGACCTTCTTCTCTCTCTATCTTTTCTTCTCCCCCGCTCTCCCATGGTAATGCAAGACAAGAAGGCGTCCCCTAACTCCCGGCAGATTACATTATATCCACATCATCCGCGCGTATCCAAGACAAGTCCCCACCACTGTTAAGGCCAAAGTCAAGAATTCTCCGCGAATTGAGCCGAGGATATAGAATTGCCACCGACAAGGGGCTATGTCATCACAACTTGAACTCGAACTCTTTAACGAGGTGTTTTTACGGTTGTGCCATTAGCTTCTTCCGTATAATCTACGGCGAATACTATCTTTTACTCGAAGTCAAGATTTTGGAATTGGAAGAACCTCTGAACACGTTTTGAGCCGATGGAGCTTTCAAACTAGGAATACGAAAGCAGAAGAAACAAGGGCTGTCCAAGCAACAGGAGTCGCGGTAAAAGCAAACCATCTGGAACAAATCCCAGTATTTACCACCTAGAGTAAGAATCGAAGCCATATCGCAGAAGCACACCAACACCAAATCGGAGTGAGTGGAAAACAGACCATCCAAGAAAACTATCTCTATCCAAGATGGATGCTTGGGACCTAATTACTAATTAAAAGCCCAGATGCGTTGCATTTTTTAATGGAGGACTTCTCAACTTTTTATGGAAATTTCTTACGAATCACATGAAACTACATCAAATGCTACCTTCCTTGGATCCCTCTCCCCCTCTCCCATCCCTTTGTCTCTAGAAGAGAGACTCCATCTGTATAAGTGATAAGAATCATGTATGCAACTTGGGCCCATATAAAACAATAATCATTTTATATTAACAACTAAGATTCCTTTTCAGTTTCCACTAACAGTCCAGATCAAGCAAATTTGAAGTACATGGAAGCCTATGTCCTCTCTCTGTCTCTATAGGGATCGATATGTCATCTTATGCCATGGCAAGCAAACCAAAATTTAAACAACTGACCAGCTCCATGGCAAAGAAGGAAAGGTTAGCGGGAATATATATATATATATATATATATATATATTTCCACAAAAA